TCCTATAAAGAAGCACTTGATTTACTCAAGAAGCGCTATGACAATCAATCTCGCATTATCTCTCACCACATAAATAACATAATAGACTTACCTTCCATACAAAAAGGTACAGCGGCTTCTATAAGGTCTTTTATTTCTGGAGTGCAGCAACAACTATATGCGTTAAAAAATTTAAATCAACCAGTAGAACAGTGGGATATGCTACTGATATCTATTTTATCAAAAAAATTAGATCAATATACCAATATGGCTTATCAACTCGACAGAAACTCAGAAGTACTACCAACCATGAAAGAATTTATACAATTTCTGGAACAGCGCGCTATAGCGTTAGAGGATAGTAGCACTATGGAAGTCAAAAGACAATTTCCAAATAAAGTGAGCAATGTTGTTGCAAAAAATGTTATTAAATGCCTATATTGTGACTCTCTTAACCATGCTGCCCAAAATTTAAAATGGCCCCCATTGATGACCGTATTGGGTTTGTTGAAAGTCATAAGTTATGTACAATTTGTTTAAAGGCACACATTGGCAAATGTAAATTCAATTTTATATGTAAAAATTGCAAAGCTAAACATAATACACCCCTCCATAAGGATAGTGCACCAGAACCAAGGCCTGAAGTTACTATGCATTCACGGAATTCTTGTGTTAATATTTTGTTACCTACTATAAAAGTAACTTTATTTGATGTTTGTGGCTGTGAGGTTGTAGTCAGAGCGCTTCTTGATACTGGTAGTCAAGCCTCCTTTGTAACTAGTTCATTAATTGAAAAATTAGGCATGAAGCCAAGGTACCAAAATTCTAATAAAATTAGTATTGGTAGAAACAATATTATTAATAAATATGTCAACATCACAATGTATTCTCCACTTAAAAATGTTAAATTAATTGTCGAGTGTAACATTGTTGACACTATAACTTCAAAGCTACCACAGCAGGAAATTGATATTTCTGAAGCAAATATTCCGAAAAATATACCACTTGCCGATAATAATTTTAATACTCCAGCAAAAATATCAATGCTCCTTGGTGCGGATGTCTATTTTAATATTTTACTTGATGGACAAATTAAATTTTGTAATGGTTTGGTATTGCAAAATTCTTTATTTGGTTACATAATTGGTGGATCAGTTAAAAACCAAACTTTATATAATAAAGATTGTGTAGCAAATTTTGCAATATCTGACCATAAAAGGCTTGAAGAGATAATGCAACAGTTTTGGCTCTCTGAGGCCCCTCCTCAATATGCAACTAAAGTTACCCAGGAACATCAAAAGGCTGAACAATGCTTTAAAAAGTCTGTGTTACTTCATTCAAACAAATTTCAAGTTGATATGTCATTAAGTAAGGATTTGAATGATTTGGAAATTGGGGACTCATTCTCAGTTGCATTTCAGAGATTTATGTCATTAGAAAGAAACCTTAAATCAAACCCTCTTTATTTTGAAAAATATAAACAATTCATTGATGAATACATAGCATTGGGGCATGCTAAATGTGTTGATATCGATAGTTATGATTTGAAAAATGGTCCAGTATATTTCCTAGCACACCATGCTGTTGTCAATGAACACAGTACAACCACAAAATTGCGGGTAGTCTTTGAGGGATGTATGAAATCATTAAAAGGTATATCAATTAACGATGTTATGTTGAATGGCCCCGTTGTTCAAAATGAACTTTTTAACATTCTTATTTTGTGGAGAACATTTATGTATACTCTCACTTGTGACATAGCTAAGATGTTTCGTTGTATAAACATAAATCCAACTCAAACAAGTCTGCAAAACATACTTTGGCGTGATGACTCCAATAAACCTATTCGTTGTCTACAATTGCAAACTGTTACGTATGGCTTAAAAGCATCCACATATCTAGCAACTCGTTGCCTTATAGAAATTGCTCTTCGCTGTAGAGAGCAATACCCATTGGCTTCACAGGCTTTGCTTTCTAATACATATGTTGATGATGTCATATGTGGAGCTGATAATATAAATGATTTAAAACAATTAAAGATAGAACTTAATAAACTGCTGGAAATCGGTAGCTTCTCTCTTCATAAATGGTCATCAAACTATCCACAAGTTCTTGATGATTTACCTAATGATAAAAAATACTTTGATATCCTTGAAATCGATAAGGAGAACTTTGTAAAGACACTAGGTCTACAGTGTAATTTTTTAAATGATAAACTTACCTTTAGATGTCCAGAATTTAAAAGCGAAATTAATACTAAAAGGAAAATATTAAGCTATACTGGAAAAACGTTTGAACCCTTAGGCCTCATAGGTCCATTGATTGTTGTGGCTAAATTACTTATGCAAAATTTATGCGCAATAAAGATAGGTTGGGATTTTACCACAGGACCAAATCAATGTTTGGCAAATGTTCTTGCAAGGCCCGTCAGCAATGAGGACTCTCTCAATTCCGAGGGATGTAAGCTCTCCAAAGCTGTTTATGGCAGAGCTAGTTGGTTATGCGGATGCTTCAATGATGCTACTTCTATTTAAGAGTCTATAACTCTGATGAAACAGTATGTAGTAACTTATTGTGTTCCAAGTCTAGTGTGGAACCTCTCATTAAAAGTGTAACTATACCACGATTAGAGTTAAATAGTGCTTTACTTTTAGCCCAAATGGCCAACAGAATATACTATACACTAAATACCAAATATAAACACTTGAAAGTCTTTCTTTATAGTGATTCTCAAATTGTCTTAGCCTGGCTGACATCAACTAATAAAAAAACAAATCAGTATATATATAATAGAGTTACAGAAATAAAAAATTTATCAAAAGAATTTGTTTGGTCCTACATAAATACAACCAAAAATCCAGCTGATTTACTGTCACGTGGGTGCAAATCGCAAACGTTAAAGTCAAACATGTTATGGTAGCATGGACCACCGGAACTTCAGAAAACTTTAAACATAAAGTAGCTGATTTAGTACTTCCTATTTCGTCTCCAATACTGATATAAATTGTGAAAGCACAAATGCTTTCTCTGGTATGTCTTTGAATAGCACAAACAATACTGAGTCATTTATTATTAACTTAATTGAGAAATTTTCTGATATTAATAAATTACAGAGAGTTGCAAGCTACATGCTACGTTTTTATAATAACTCAAAGGATAAAAACAATAGAACTGATGGTTCATTAACATCAGCTGAAATTAACAGCGCTATGATGGTACTTATACGTGGTGTTCAAAATTTTCACTTTTCTAAAGAAATGGTTTTAATTAATAAAGGTACTCCAAATATAAACACTTGAAAGTCTTTCTTTATAGTGATTCTCAAATTGTCTTAGCCTGGCTGACATCAACTAATAAAAAAACAAATCAGTATATATATAATAGAGTTACAGAAATAAAAAATTTATCAAAAGAATTTGTTTGGTCCTACATAAATACAACCAAAAATCCAGCTGATTTACTGTCACGTGGGTGCAAATCGCAAACGTTAAAGTCAAACATGTTATGGTAGCATGGACCACCGGAACTTCAGAAAACTTTAAGCATAAAGTAGCTGAGTTAATACGTCCTATTTCTTCATCCAATAATGATATAAATTGTGAAAGCATAAATGCTTTCTCTGGTATCTCTTTGAATAGCACAAACAATACTGAGTCATTTATTATTAACTTAATTGAGAAATTTTCTGATATTAATAAATTACAGAGAGTTGCAAGCTACATGCTACGTTTTTATAATAACTCAAAGGATAAAAACAATAGAACTGATGGTTCATTAACATCAGCTGAAATTAACAGCGCTATGATGGTACTTATACGTGGTGTTCAAAATTTTCACTTTTCTAAAGAAATGGTTTTAATTAATAAAGGTACTATAAAAAATTTAGGATCAGGTCTGGCTAGCTTGCATCCTTTTGTAGACAATAGTGTATTGTAGGTGTATTGCGTGTGGGAGGCCGCTTACAAAATGCTGAAAATATTTCATATGAAAAAATGCATCCTATAAGTTTACCCAAGTCGTCTCATTTTACAAATATAATTATTCACAAAGAACATTTAAGACTTTTACATGCTGGGTCCAAGTTAGTTCTCAGTTCCCTGTCACAGACATTTTGGCTTATTAGTGGCATACGAGAAGTAAAAAAAATTGTTAACAGATGTATAAAATGTGCTAGGCTTAAAGCTGCAGCCTCAATGCAACTCATGGGATCTCTGCCACAGGATCGAGTTACTCCAATGAGACTCTTTCATGTAACTGGTGTAGACTTTTGTGGGCCATTCAACATAAAAGTATCTAGAATCAGAAAACCCATTAAAACTAAGGGATATGTTGCAATATTTGTCTGTTTTTCATGTAAAGTCATATAGTTCCATATGTCCATATGGACATATGGAACTTGTGAGTGATCTTACTACTGAAACATTTTTGGCCTGCCTCAAGCGTTTCTTCTCTAGAAAGGGAATGTCTGCTAAAATATATTGTGACAATGCTAAGACATTTAAGGGAGCACAAAACGAATTAAAACAATTGTATGAATTATTTTCATCTCAAACTCATATAGAAAAGATAGAACATTATTGTGTATCTAACTACATACAATTTAAGTTAATACCTGCATACTCACCTGAGTTTGGAGGCTTATGGGAGGCAGGGGTAAAGAGCTTCAAATATCACTTTAAAATAATTGTAGGAAATATTGCACTTACATTTGAAGCACTATATACAGTTATAACAGAAATTGAAGCAATCTTGAGCTCTAGACCCTTGCTGCCCTTAAGTTCTGATATTTCTAATTATGATTACTAGGACATTTCTTGATAGGCACAGCTATGATGAGCTATCCGGAAATTGACCTAACAAATAAATGTATAAATAGACTAAAGTTTGGGAAATGTTATCTAAAATTAAACAAGACCTATGGAAAGTTTGGTCTAGGGACTATCTGACACAGTTACAAAGTAGACCCAAATGGAAGCAATCTTATCCTAATTTAAAAGAGGGTGATTTAGTAATAGTTCGCTATGATAACACTACACCATTATCTTGGCCAATGGCAAGAATTGTTAAGACTGTTCCTGCACCAGATGGAAAAGTAAGAGTGGCTGAAATTAAAATGCCTAATAATAAAGTATACCTAAGATCATTTAGAAAATTGTGTCCACTGCCACTCTAATATTATAAATTTAAAAAAGGGGGGACATTAGCCTTATGTTCCCTATAATGTAATTGAATTTCCTATAATGTAATTAAATTTAAGTTTGTTAGTTTGTAAAATAAATAAATCCTGTATCTGTTTCACAGGGCCTCGGCCCAACTATGTTTAATAATTAAACATAAATGTGGCAACACAGTTGTATTGTACTATACTGCCAACTTTTTGCTCTCTATGTTCATCTCCCTTTTTTTATACAGCTTTGTACGTACATAAAAATGTTAATAAAAATACTACAGTCCATTTTAAGATTGCATTTTATTTAACAGCTTCCTTTACAAGCTGACACTCACTCAACGTGGCAGACAGACTCACGTACACACCCCGGGCCTTCTATTTGAATCGCTCCTTTCGATATCGAGTAGAAAGCACCCTCTCTACGAACTGCCCTCTCATGGCGGGTGTTCCTCACGGCTTCTGCCTCTCCTCTTTTCACACGAGCGACATATCAAAAGACCCGCATGTTATTTTCGCGGATGACACGACGCTCTTTTACACAGATAAAAAGCGCCACTGACCGCCTCGGCGATAGGTTCCGCAAGTAAAGAATAGAAGTAAATCTGACAAGAGTGTGACAATTTACTTCACACGAAGTACTTAACCGTCACACCTTTATAAAGGCCCTCGCTAATGCAGAAAACTAGGGCAAATATCTCTTTACGGCCAACGGCTCTTTGGAGAAAAAGGCCAAATATCTAGGAGTCAATTTCGACTCACGCAAGACGTTCACATCGCATATTAAAGGTATTGGAAACAGAGCCGCATTTGTCTCCGGCGTTCTGTAACCTAATCAATGCGTCAAGTAAAATGCCTTTAAGGCACAAATTATTATTATATAAGGCCTGCGTAAGACCTATTATGTCCTACGCGTGCATGACCTATGCCCACACAAACCCTACCCGCTTGTATAAGTTGCAAATAGCACAAAATAAGTTCATACGCCGCGCAACGGATGTGCCATAATTAATACACGCATGAGGAGGCCGTAGCCACTTTTTTTTTTTGAGTGGGACAAACACTTTATGGATCCTCCGCCGCTCGGGGGTAAGGCAGCAGGGGTATGTGCGAGTTTGGGGTACCCACTAAAAACCCACGTTGCACCTGCGCTGTCGCTTTGCCGGGGACACGGGAACACGAAAACGCAATCTTCCGCTAACCCCGGCGCGACTGTGGCCTTCTCAGGCCTCCTCTCCCTGGGTGTTTAGACATCCTATCCAGCCAAATGGTTCTGTGTGCAATAAACAATGCACCACTCTCAAGACCACCGCAGGGCAGCAGTTACTCCCAGATCTGCCACCCCGGTGCTTGCTATAAGGGGAATGTTGCGCGCGTAGGCCAGCCTCCTACGCTCTGGTCTCCGGCGGCGGGCAAGCGGCCCGGCGAAAATTGGTGCCACTGGCGGTGACAAGGGTGTTGTCAGCGTAATACGTTACCTTGGCACCCCTGAGGTAGCACCCAATCATACTCTACGTTCCACAGGAGTGGCCTTAGCACCGACCCCTGTGGAACTCCACATGTCACCTCTGTTGTCCGGTGACAGTCTCGGCACGGGTACACCACAGAACGGTGCGACAAATAGACTTCGACGATGCAGCGCAGGTAGAGAGGCCATTGTACCGGAGCGCCTCCTTTATGCAAACCCAGGGCAAGGTGTTGAAGGCATTAGCGATGTCGAGATACACCGCCAAGACGACCTCACCCTGGAAAACCGCCTCCTGTGCGTGGGACCTCACTGGCAGCACCGCGTGGGTGTTTGACCGACCCCTGCGGAACCCAAACGGCCTATCTGCCAGGTTCGGGCTGACGTGCTCCAAATGATCGACTATGTGGCCCGCGATCACTCTTTCGAAGAGTTTGCCCACATCGTTGAACATAAAAAATAAGTTATATAAAAAAAGCGCGCAAACACAAAAAAGTTGAAAGTCGTGTCACTCTCCGATCATTTGTTCGCGCCTGACCACTTAGCTGTTACTCCCGCACCGGAGTCGTCACCGCAATTTTGGAAACAGGGACGTCCGATTCAGATAATCACAAGTCGCGATCGACTTGATGTATCTTTCCTACTTCAATCAGAGATCATGTACCATCGATAAGATTGTTTGAAGGCGCAAGTTTTAGTCAGCCCATCCGTTAAGTTTATCTTTTGTTACAAATTAAAGCATATTGAGGTTCTAAGCAAAAATAATAGTTTTTATTTTGTAAGTAGGTGGCTTAATTACTGGCGCAATTAATTTTATGCTATATTATATTTTTTTTTATTTCAAAACTTCGCCCTCGCGCCCCTAGGCACATGCCTAGTTTGCCTTAAGGATAATCCGCCTCTGCCCACCACATAAAAATATAAAAGATGAAAAAAACAATTGTGCGTTATCAGTTCCAAGTATAATTAAACTAGGGACTCGCCCCGGCTTCGCATGGGTGCAGTATATTATATATATAAACCTTCCTCTTGAATCACTCTATCCAGTAAATAAAACCGCATCAAAATACGTTGCGTACTTAAAGATCTAAGCAAATATAGGGACAGACAGACAGCGGGACGATTTTGTTTTATACTATGTAGTGATAATTCGCATCTCGGCATCGGACACTAATCTGAGATCATTTATCGCGACGTTGTGGTGTCTGGTCGAAATATTAGATATGTTAGAACCGTTCGACAAATAGTGCCCGGGTGTGTAGCCGCTCAGGGTTGGCACCGGCTAGCAGGCCACGCCTTCAGGATGGACCACTTTTACTTTTAAAACGCCATGAACGTGGAGAGGGGCGAGTAGATTTGGCGCGCTCGGCCGTCAACTGCACCAGTACAGATCGCGTGCCCTAGCGAACGCCTGCATTTCGCCTCCGCGATTCAAACGGGGGCCAGCACGTGTTTCGGAGACGCCGGCTCGCGGACAACAAAAATCACAGGTGAGGTTCTTAAGTCGCTCGCCCTCGTGGGTCAAACGGTGGCGCTGTAGTAGCAAGGTATTTTTTTAAGCGCACAGATTAATTTGTACGTGCATTACGTTCTCGAACGCGCCCTCGGGCAAGTTATTTTTCATGTAGTGGTTCTTGTCTCGGGGATAGGTTCATCTCTCTATATTTGGGGACCAAAGTTCGTTAAAAAGCTATCATAGCACTGTTTCTGTTTATACCTTGCCTGTTGATTGGATACTTGGGAAATGTTCGGGACTGATTTGTATCTGTAATCTGTATGGTGCCAAATCTATAATATGTATTTCTTTTGTTTTCGTTTCAACGATATTAAGGTCGTGGATTTTTATTTCCTCCTTTTATGTAGAACTTTGTTTTGTTTTTAACTAAGGACAACTTAGAAGGCCGTCAGATCAGAAACGCCCGGTGAAACTTTTCTTCTCATGATAAGATGGGTACCATAACTTAAACTGGAGCTTATAGCAAATATATCACATATGTTAAAGTAATGGTACATTTAGTAATTTTTTTCAATGTCCTTTTTTATTAGATATTCTACAGTACAAATGTTTATCTGTTTGACGTCACATAAATACCCTGCCATATACCTTTCGGACGTTGTTACCAAACATAGAATGAATTATAAACTAACAAATCATTCAAAATAATCGGAGTTTTAAAGATAGCGAAATAGCCAGAAAAAGGTTATTTTTCTAAATCAGATAACTTCCATTGATAAATTATAACTATTTAAACATTGTACTATTACCATTTCGTGGCTGGTTATGGTACTGTGCGAAAATTTGGTACGAGTCAACTAGTTTATATCTATACATCAGGGCCCCTCCGGGTCAGTACCACGACCTCACAGAAGATCGGAATTAAGTGGAAGTGTTATACTTCTGCGCTTCTTCTCGTGAATGAGGTGGCCGGGGCTACCTTACTTTATTAAAAGGTGGCAACAAATCTGCCACCCTTCGGGTGTTTCAAATGGGCGGCGGTTATAACATCAAATGAAACGCCAGGTCGTTTGCCCCCTTCTCACATGTGCATCCAACGCATCATTAATAGTTGACTGATTTTACTTTGTGTCCGTTCATGTTTGTGAAAACCGATGTGACAGAGGAATTATTTTCTCACAAACACGTTATCTTCGTACATTAGTTACTGGGAAGGAATAGCAAGGTATTCGTTTTGACAATAAATAAATATTAAAATAAGGCGAAAAAAGTGTGTTACTAAAAGTCAAATTACTGGCGCTCACTTTTAATTAAATAAACTCGAGCAACCTGAGTTTAATTTCCCGGTGAAGGTATCAATGAAATTGTTAATTGCAATTTTAAGTGCTGACTTATCACGTATTCAGCGATGAAGGAAAACATCATGGGAAAGCCTCCATATTTTCGAAATACTAACAATAACATGTTTCGAAAAAATGTGGAGTCTTCCAATCCGCAGTGGGGTCACGAATCCGACTATACCCTAATACCTTTTGTACAGGGAAGGTCTTTACACAGCAGTGAGACATATATAGGCTGTAACTTTATTTTACTAAAACTTTATTGCTAAAATTCGCAAACTTTCTTGTCCCATTGCCAGACCATTTCCTTCGTGTTCTCTATTCTACTCTAGGTTCCACCCGAAATCTTTTCTATGTCCTCGAACCATCCCTGAGTCAACATTACTTTAAACTGTACACTTTTTTAGATTCGCAAATGCAGTCTTGATGTCCCGAACTTTTGTACTTCGTCGCATACGTATCTGTAACGCGAACTTTTCAATAACATAAAACAACAATTTAGAGTAAATTGGCAATCCTTGGCATTGACAAAATTAAAGACAATTTTCTCTACTATATTATAGATCGCTCCACACATTGTAAACAATAGGGTATTGTCTAATAATTTGCCAGAAGTATATTTACAAACATATGGGAACAATGAGCGACGTCTAACAAGGGGAGGAAGTTGTTCAAAGACTATGAACACAGCCGTGTACGAGTTAACAGAGAAATGACTCGACTAGTTGATGCTATCTAATGATCGTATTTATATTAAAATCTACATTTATCTCATAAGTTAATTTATATCCCTCTAGAATTGTATTATAACTTCTTAGTACGGGTGAGTCGTAATTTTATAATGAAGGATATTAAATTTATATTAAAATATTATTATTTTAATCCATTTTTAAAATAATGAGTATTATAAATAAAAAAGATTATTCTTAATAGAATATATATATATTTAATTAATCAATTCATGATATAAATGTGTTCACATTTAAGTTACATCTCAGAGTCAACTCAGTTTGGGTTGAGGGATGTATAAAACTCGTTACATTTGTTTTATTATTTCCGATTAGACATAAAACTACTTACTAGTTACGGAAAGCAATATAACTTTTATTAATTCTCGTTAATAAAATGCAAATTGTCGGTTAAAGCCTAAAGCACTAGGATAAATTGTAAATTAATATAAAGTCTTTCATTGCTTGTCTGTTTAAATTCGATCAAATACGACAGTTGATTATAACGGCCTGTGGCGGTTAAAGTTGGCACGCATACAAATTATATGGTCGATATTTGATTTTATTCAATGAAATTTAACTCGCGAGCGAACCGTATCACCTTGAATGCTGTGAAGTAATAATGCCCGTTAGTTGTGCTACAATCGATTATACGATCTGTTACAATCATTTCATTGACTTGTTATGTCGTTTATCCACGTCCAAGTGCATTTTTTATATTTGGGAAGATAGAAGTAGGATAGTAAAGCCAAGTGTTTACCGCACCCCACGGCCATTAGCAATACCCGGGTTTGCTTATGCGTTTTTACTTTGAGGGACTTATTGACCCGGTTATCTTACTCATCAGACGATACGAAAAAGTATAGTATTTCCACTTCAAGTTTGTGTACTTCATCATTTGCAAAAAACATAAAAGCAAACAAATGTCTTGAGTTAACTTTTAATTCTTGAAAATGTTTTTTGGATATTTATATACCAAAATAGTAGACTACTGTCTACTATTTTGGTATATAAATATCCAAATGGTAATTGAGATGGGCTACGCTATTGCAAAAAATATCTAATCCAAGCTCACTTAAATTTAACGGATATGTTATTAAGAGATTAATTTTAAATTATAGCAACATTCTCGATAAATGATTTAATAAACATTACGTATTCATAGAACAGAAAGTTTGAAAAACATCTGTAAACTAAGAATGTTATACTAATATAGTGAAGTACACAGTTAATGTAAAAGCATTGTCAACTGGTACCTAGAAAATAGTTTACCACATTCAATAGGGCAATAAAAAGAAATTTTCGCACAAATGGTGGGAATAATATACGGAGTAAATGAACATTCACTCTTTATACGAGTCGTGCTTTAGCCGAGCATAAGTAAAGAGTATACCTTAAAAGTTTATTTTTATTAAATTAATTTTTCCCTTTTGCAAAAAATAAATAAATAAAAACAATAATAATAATACCATAAGCAGCAATTACTCAGTGATGAAGGTAAAATCTTTGTACTTTTGTCACCTCGCGATAAATTAAAAAAAATAATTAACATGGTTGTCATCCATAGCCATTTACTACGAGTGTATACTACAATTAAAAAGAGGCATAATAAATAATAACAAATGTTTGTTTTTAGTGGATAACCTTTTATCTCTTATACTACTACATCAACTCAGAAATGTGCGATATAAATTATACGTTGTATACTTAAATTGACAAACAGCATAAATTGGGAGTACTGATGTAGTTTATTGGTATTTCATATTCTTATCTTTTAACAAATCAAAATCAACGTAAAGGGGAGAATTTTAAAAGAAATGTATGGTTAAGGTGTATACCAAATCGTTACAGTAGATTTACTACATGAAATGACCAAAATATAAAACTTTCTTCGTTACAGACGTATATTTTTCGGCGGAGTGCTACTCTCAAACGATACTCAGAAACGTACTCTGAACCGATGCATGTACGTAACGATCGGATGGATCGGCGTCGAGTCATTTTTCGTTTTTCGAAATGGACCTCTAGTATCTTCGTATCATAATGTCGGGCATATTCTGCAACGTATTGTTCATTTGTTTCACGTATTTCTCTTTTACCTCGACCGATTCACTTTCGACAATAATGAACGCAAATAAATGTCTAGAAGTGTGCGTCACATGTTCGGTAACTTACATAAGATGCGAAGAAACTTAATTTCTCCGTTAAATAACACTATTTTACGTATTTTATCACGTTCATTTTGTACGTGATAGAATTCTAAACATATAAGATTGCGTAGTATTCAGATAAACAAAACAAAGGTTTAAAAAAGAGACTTTAGAAAGAGACAAGACAGAGGATACATTTTAGAAAGAGACATTTTATCTCACCTTATTTCATGCGTAAAAACATAATTGTCGTTAGTAAACTTACAAGAAAAAATAAGAAATCTGCAAACGTTTTAAAGCCTAACCAAAAATGCATGCTTACAACAATAATTTATTATCTCATTAGGATTAATTATTATTTATTATTCCCTAATTCCTCTTGTAATTTTACTGTTTAATGATAATCAACTGAAATCGGCACAGCCCAATTTGCATGTGGTGTGAGAGTTAAAATAAAAGAAATCGGTTAACATAAACAATATACATATTTGATATGAACTGCCTCTTTTTGTAGTCGGTAAAAAAGACATTTTCAGACAACTCTCAACCCTTGCTTATTTCATGACATGCCATGGCTTCCTTCTTTCATAGATTCAATTATTACAGCTTTGTAATTTTATTCGATATTTAGGTAAATTAATGACATGAGAGACATTAGGCTGCAGCTGTCAACAGTTAATAGGCAATTACGTGACGGTTATTTTTTAATCCTGACGCGCAATCAATACCGAATGCAACTTGTTAATAATTTATTTTACATTCGTAATTAAAACGAAGGTCATGCATGGTCAAAATTTAGTGGACCCAACAACGGGC